CAATTTTATTAAATTCCATTTAGTACTTCCGCTTGCCCAATTGTAAATGTATTTTCATATATATGCCAATATTTCAGAAACGACTCATTAGATTTGGCTCAAAGTTGAAAAAAAGGTGGGTTTCGGTAAAATAATGTTTTTTTATCGATTTTATTGAATTCCGTCATCTATTTCCTGTTATATGTGCGCAAACGCGTTTTCCTTGGTGCGACAATATCTCTAAAACCGCTAGTTCGATTTGGCTCATATTTGGAGTGAAGTTTGGGATTAGTTAACAGAGAATTAAATAAATATTAATTTTATCAAATGCTATCCACTACTCTAAAAAAAAAGTCTTCCATTTTCGGATCAGTAAACGAATTATTTGACACGCCTATAGTTTGAAAACGGCTTGTTAAATTTGATTCAAACTTGGAGGAAATTAAAAGAATAGTTCAGAAATTGTCTAGTACCAATTTCATTTAATAATTGAACTTAATATAAATAACTGTTAACTATATAATGGCTGTGAAATGTGGTAGGCGTTGATCGCGTGGAATATGGGTTAGGTTAATACAATATCTTTATAAGGTTTTATTCAAAAAGTTAATTTATAATGTATTGTTTGGTCAATTCCAAATGTTACTGGAATGACACTTACGGCCTTTCCTTAGATTTCAAATAATTTTCAGTAATTTTTAATTTACTGTTACTTTTTTTGGTTAGTAAAAAAAAGTCTTATTTGTGATTTTGTTTGTTTCTATTGTTAAGTTTAATCAGTTCGTCGTGGTCTCGCTTTCCTCCTTGATCATCAAAGTTGTGTGAACTTCAATCTTATTTTTATATTCAAGTTTAAATTAGTTTAGTTCTGACTGAGGAAAAATATTGGTCTGATTAATTCCGAACAAACAAGAAGTTTAATTTTTCCAATGGATTTTTATTTATTTCTACCCATTTCACTAGTAAAAACATACATATTAACTATATATCGCTACTAATTGTGCAAAAGGTCCAATGTAACAATTTTCCATTTTTAGTCTATCGGCACTAAAGGTTACATTTCGTAATATGGAACTGATCAAGAACCGGAGTACTTGATGATGACCCCCATGTTTGGGTTAAAACGTTGGCACAAATAAAAAATTGTTATAATGACTGAATATTTATCACCCAGTATATGTAGAACAATCGGCTAGCTTTCTTCAATAATTCTATAAGTCATATAATTATATATTTCAGAAATATATAAATATTTTTATTTTTCTGATAAAATAACAAATAATATTATTTGAATATTTAATTGTATACTAATATTATTTTATTTTAATTCGTTTTTCATTCAAATAAATTTAATCATTGATTACACAGTTGTTGATTTCATGTAGTTACAATTTTTAATAAATATTGTAATATTGTCCTCGGAGGGGGCTCGAAAATCATTGTTTTATATTTTTCCAGTATCCGAAAATTCTTTGTTTTGTTTTTAATTTCCTCAAATTTTAAAGGTCCCTCTGATACCATCGCAACATAAATGTTTTTACTTTTTTGATTGCCATAGAATCATTGGGGGGCCTCCTCTGAGGACCCCCGAAGATCATGGTTTTGTATTTATCTAGTACTGTTGAAGGGTAAAATGATTATGTATTTAAATTCCTTGACACCACTTATATATTATGACACCACTTATATATATAATATATATTATATATATATATATATATATATATATATATATATATATATATATATATATATATATATATATATATATATATATATATATAGTCCTGATAAGGGGGCCACGCTTCAAACTTCAGCCGAGGGCTCCATGCGGAGCCAGACCGGGCCTGTTCGTAGGATTTGTTTTTTGTTATTTGCTTTTCAGCTCAGTGAAAAGATGTCAAAGTGAGCCTGGCAAAATTAGTATTTCCACAAAACACACAATCCTGATTTACTTATTATCAATAGTACCGACCGATAGACGTTTCCATCTGGTCGAACCAAATCGTTATTATTGTTTAATAAACTCTAAACACTAAATTTGTGTTCTATTTTTTATTTCAATAAATGCTAACATTATATTTAATGTGTTCATACCACAACCCTTACATTCCATCTAAGGTGAGGGTCTATCACTATCTATCTTGACAATGTCTTTAAAGTATGTATATTCAAGTAAATTTAGTTGAACTTTGCTATGTCTAGGTCAAAAGATAGGCCAATGTATCTACTTACCGTTCTTTTGTGTCGTTCTAAGACATAAATTAACGTTTTTAATAAATAGCAATAGGCTAATTGGTAATTGCAAGACTTTCGAGACTCTTGCTGCAAGACCAAGACCAAGACTGGCCAAGTCTTGCGTTAGTCTTGTATTTGGGCAACACTAGTTACAATGTATCAAGAAAATGTATCATCGTTTATTTTATGTTTTTTTTTCTTGATTATTATTTATGTCACTGCCTTTTCAGCCTTCGTAGAGACTTACCAGGTAACAGAGAAGAAGAAACACATAGGATGAATGGAGTTAGATGATTAATAATTGATGAATGAAATAAATATTGTTTATTTGTTACGTGTTTGTAAGATTTTACTGTTGGTATGCTCCTGTCGTGTATGGATTGATTTGAAATAAACCTACGTCCATTTACGATGTTTCAATTGTGCAATTTGAATCTCGTTTATGTGGACGTGTTTTGAGGAACTCTTAAAGTTCTGCTTCGTATGTCCAAATAGTTCTTATTCAGATATGAGCAAAAGCTATAATGAGTAATGCGTACCAAGAATTTTACTCAAATTGAATCATTATTGAGAATTAAATAACTACTTCAGTTAATCGTTTGACATCAACTGAAGTAGTAATTAAATTCTTTAGTACTCAAAAAATGTCAGTATTTGAATAAAATACTTGCAGCCCTGGAGCAAGGGCCCAAAAATCGACCTGATCGCAGAATAAAGATTTGATTGTAAATTACAAAAGTTTATGTAATTGTGAATAAAAAGAACATTGGTCTGCCGTTCCAGAGCCGCTGCTTTTAAAAGAGGCGACTGATTTAAAGAATATTAGGCAAGTAATTTGAGGATCGAAAAGGGAAATCCATTGCGAAAATATGTGAAAAGTTTTTATCTTTTAACTTGTATATATGGGTTCAGACTTGTAAAAAACAAAATTGCTAACGCGGGCCACCAAGGGAAAACTTTTTACAGCCAAATAAGTCAGAATTTGTCTATATTTTTATGTTTTTCCACTTATAACTCCTAAATGATGAATCAAAGAGAAAAATGTATTCTTTAATAAATTAAAGAACGTTAAATTTTGCGTCAAACGAGTACATAAACTTTATAATTTGGTTACGTGGTAAGGTATAAAACCACGGTCAACCAACGCTAGTTTTCACCAAACTGTTCAAAAATTGAGACAAATTACTATAAATGGCCCTGTAACTTGGAATGAGTTCCCTAAAAGGAAAAACCCATACAATCAAAGTTGTAGTGAATCAACTCTCTTTGCCTCTGATGAGTTCTAACATTTTCATTGTAGGCCAATTATATATCTCAAATCCGGATTCCCTATTCCTTTATGAAATTCGGTATCTTTCGACACATTGTTTATCAAAATCCTTCGCTGCTGAGAGGTAGAAAAGAGGCTTATACAGCATGTAACAGGCTCTAAACAAAAATAACTCAGTGAAAATAATGTTGAAATATTGAAAATCACGTTTATCTTGATTTTCAATTTCTAACGTTCCGGACATTACCGATTTTGTTCGGAATAAGTGAAATACATTAAATTAATTGTTACTCATTGGAAGAAAATTTTGACACTCCACAACTTCGATTCTTTAGGATTTTATTCTTAGATAACTCATTTCCAAGTTTAGACATTTATAGTAATTTGTCTCAGTTTTTGACAGATTTGGTAAAAATCAGCGTTGGTTGACCGTGGTTTTATTTCTTACCACGTAACCAAATTATAAAGTTTATGTACTCATTCGACGCACAATTTAATGTTATTTAATTTATTAAAGAATATATTTTTCTCTTTGATGCATCATTTAAGAGTTATAGGTGAAGAAAAAAAAAAAAAAAAAAAAAAAAAACGAAAATCGGCCATAAAAGACGAGTGTCTACCAAGCGATGCCCTAACCGAATCCTAGATTAGAAGACGGAGGCGAGGACGACCCAGAAAAAGATGGACGCATGAAGTGGAAGAGGAGATGGCTGGCCTGGCTCTTCAGGATGAGGATTGGCTTGACCGCGACCTCTGGAGCTTAGTCCTGAAGTGAAAAGCAACCCTCGTTGGAACGCCTATATAATAATAAGTTAATATCGGTACAGCAGTTCAGGCGCTACAGTCTGCTGGAAATACTTTTCAGTGATATTTGTTCTATACATATATTTAGAGGGCATCAAGGAGAATACTTTAACAAGCACATTAGTATATATATGTGTGTGTGTATATATATATATATATATATATATATATATATATATATATATATATATATATATCTTGATGACATATCTTTATATACATATATACTTACATTATATACATATACATATTAGTGTACTTGATACATGATTTTAATTTTGCGATCTTCTTATATACGGGTACATCTTCAATAACGAGGCTGGGCACATACCATTGGCTGGGCACACACGTTGTGATATACCGGTCAGGTAAAGTTGCACATGTAAACCGTAAGGTGTATTTGTGCAGACTATAGTACACACACGCTACGATAAACCGTAAGATTTTAACTCAGTCGAGAGATCGCTTAACATGATTAAAAACTGTACTAATTAACTTAAAAAGTGTACAGGTTAACACACACATGACGTCTGATAGGTCTACACTCCTGCGCAGATAGAAAGTACTTAATTTCGATTCTTCGGTCGCCTGCACAGGTCCCTAAGCCAATGCAGTTTGGTCTGCACCGATTGGAGCACACGCTCCGGTTTACCTGTACAGGTCACCGGTATACCTGAACGTGTGTGCCTGGCCTTACATAATACCTTGTTTGACTAATCAGTATTTTATTGTTAGTGTACATCAGTATCGTGAAAACAATTTATCTCATTTAATTGCTAGAAATAGTATTACATCAATCGATGTTGATTTTTCTGAATGTCCCATCTACTCCAAAAGTATGTTTACTGTCGGATGGCCGCTTGCTTTCATCAGCAATAAGAAATGAGGTCATTTTAAACCAGTCTCTATTCTCTTCCAGCAAATTAATCCAATCTTCTGTAAAAGTAAACAAAAATGTTAATGCGTTGTTCTTTTAATGCTGGCAATTATTATTACCTTGTGATTTGTAAAATGATCAAAAACACTATACATGTTATATAATGCTGATAGTTATAATTATGGATACACGATCCATTATAGAATAGACATATATTCTTCATAAAAAAATAAATAAAAATAAAGATAAGAAATAAATTACTGCTATTTTTTTAAATTACTATTGGATTTAAAAAAAAAAAATCAAACTATTATTGGTATTTATTTGAGTGAATTCTTACCACTGAGTTCTGTCGAGGATTTCTCATTACCACCGTAATCAGAAGGGAGAAGCTCTGTAGGTATTTGGTTTTGAAGAGTCCTTTCATCATCCGTTGTAATACTTACCTGAAATCAGAATACTAGGAAAATCTGAAGTGAAATTACACACTAATATTAGATAATGAATTGTGCACAACGAGAGTTCAAAAATGAGATCATGGGATTCAAATGACATGTTTTTATCCGTTCCAATTAATGTAGGACTACATACAAGGTTTCCAACGAAGAAAAACAGTAATCCGGAGAAAAGTGTAGCTCAGTGCGTGGGGAACTTTATTTTCTTTAATATCGGTTCGGGTCGTTCTTTATTAGATTGGAGATAAGTATAGCAGTTGAGCGTGGATGCTGACCATATCACCTCTCATCATATCCAGAATGAGGAACGGTGAAACAGCTACGTCCCTTCAGTAATGAAAAAAAAATTAAAGTAATATAGATAAAAAACTAATTTCGGAAAAGTTTATTGATAGGCCTGTCCTTGTGGGATTGTAATATATATTTCAACGTTCTGAAAAAAAAAATACGGGATAAAGATTAATTCCTCTACCCTTAAATTAATTAGACATATAAACAATTTATTCATAATGATTTGAAACAATAATTTTGTGTTTTTTTTTTTGTGTTTTTTTAAAGTAATTCCAATGGAATATAAATACAGTGGTTAACAAAAACAATAATACAAATCACAAAAAAGTAATAACTTTTTTTAACTATTTCTGAATTAAGCCCAATATTGAACAAAGGCTTTAGTTTTAAAATAATCCCTTTAACGTCCTTAACTTTAGCCATGTGCCTTATCTTCTCATTTTTTATGCTATCGGTTAATTATATATATAACATATGCCTTCAAAATTCGACTTTAATTGACTTTGGAAAGAAGTTAGGAGTTGGGGAATAAATATCAAGTACATATAAATATCATCCATTACTTCAAAAAAATATCCCCACGTTTTGATCTTCCAACGTACTGTTCTCGATACGTCTTGTACAAAATAGAAACAATTTCATCAAATTATATTTAACTATTAAAATTAATGTAGCTAATTGTGGAATGGTTTTGTAACTTGATAGGCAGTGAACATACGGAATTTAAATTTATACTATAGTTTGATATGGTTATAAGTTTGTTTATGTTGTTTTTTAATAATCTTACAAACAGATTGTTGGTGCTTCTCAGTCTCGTTCAAGATTGAATGTATTATTTTATTTTAAAATGTTGTGACTTTACTTTCATTTGTAACGTTTGCCACTTTCATTTTTATTCATTTTGCATGTGAAATTGTTTTTACTCTAATTCGAGGTATTTTATTTGATTTTAGCGTTGAAGTACTCTTTTATTAAACCGTTTGCAAAATATATTTATCTATAAAATATATATAGAATATTTTTATATTTCTCTTCTTCTTCCACACAAGTATAATGAAATAGTAGTGCAGAGTGTTATTATATCACAGAGGGAAGATTCATCAAATTATTCACTAATTTAATTTGCTAAAAAGTTACATGACAATTTTTCGGAATAAATTTTGATACCTAATTATTTAAATACTAGTAGGCCCGTAAGAAAAATTCGCACAGCATATTGTTATCAAATGCCAAATTAATAAGAAAATGTTACTTTACCGATAAATATAATCCACAAAGCAAACAAAAATAATTAAAACAAAAAATTTAAAACAAAAAACAAACAAAAAATTTAAATCTTAACATGTATACAAATTTCAGGAAGCTGTATATTTGCTAAAAATTGTCCGATTGCGATGATGTTCTTTTATCCTTTTGTAGGGAATTTAGTAATATTTTATATAATCATGGCAATAACCTAGGGAAAAGTCTGTAATTTTTCAGTTATTCGCAAATAAAGTTTATTTTCTTTCATAACTTGTTTTACTGAATTTTCTGGGTGATTGGACTATTTTTCCAGCCTGAAGGAGAAGGAAGCCTTCGAAATTGGTGGCTCAATCTTGAGATTTAGTGAAAAATTAACGATGATATGGCTTGCCGATCAAAAACACCATCGATGAATAATATAAACTCCCCCTCTCTCGATCATAGAGACCTCAAGTCGACGAAATGAGACATGTATTCAATGACAGTACTACAATTAATGTAAGGTTGTGTGGATGCGAACCCTCTACTTTGCGTTATCTCGAAAATAATACGTTTTTCGGCTTAAAAACGCAGGATCCGATAGTTCCGAAGGAACTATCCGGGTCTTGCTGTACGCATCAAAATCTTTAAGATTCAATTTGTCCCGTATCGATCTACAGACCTACCACCGTTCCAGTATCGAAGCCTAGCAAAATGTTTGTATCGACTTTATTTATTTTAGAAAGAAAAACAAAAGTGGAGAATACGATTCGCTAACCCCCCGTGAAATTCTGAATCCAACGGTACCCCATTCGTGGTATTTGAGCATGACAGGAGCTTATATTTGGTACAAAACCGATTTCGAGCCTTACTGTAATAATGTATGTACGGATAATATGAGATCTATAATCACTAAACTACAGTAAATGTATTTAAGGTTATAACACATGCTTTATACATCTATGAAATGATTTCATATTTTACTTCTTTTTTCACACAAGTACAATGAAATGGTTTTTTTAACAATGCCATTAACTTGATTAGGTGGATTTTAAATACTTTCTATAAACGTAAACATATTTTTTAAAGTTTACATTTTGTTAGTAAATTTCATTTAGTTTTGACTCTAATTCGAAGTATTTTATTTGATTTTAGCGATGAAGTACTCTTTAATTGAACCGTTTTCAAAATTTAAATTAAGACTATGTAAAAAAAATAATACAAAAATGAAAAAATCATTAAAAAGTATTAGCACATCACATTAAAAATGTTGGCAGAGTTTTTTTGTTTTGTTTTAATAACCTATTTTTTTAACTTACCCTGTCCAAAAATTTCTCACTCAGAAATGGTTTAATAGTACTATTAAACAACATATTTATGAAGTGTCCTGCATTGATGATCGCAGCACCCTTGAATTTGATAGGTACAGATTCCTGCAAATAAAATGATGAATGTATGAAGATTCAATATGATATTGTATTATATCAGCCAAGGAAGTTTGACAAAAAAGGAGATTTTAGTAGCAAGGGTGGATCAATTTCGATTCCAAAGTAGATTTTACGTATTTAATCATCATAAAAATCTCCCTTTTCGACCTTCACTTTTTTTTTTTGCATTTCCCGTAACTCAGTCCATTTTAGGTAAAAATATATTTTTACCAATAATTATGAGCGTTAAATGTTTAGCATTTTTCATACTTAACCTTTTGGAAATTTGAAACAGCGATCTACAGAGATACAGGGATATGAAAATCTGCAAAAACTAGCATTGTTATTTTAATATTTCTTGGCTTCTGCAGAGTGAGTAAAAATATTTATAATGAATCTTTTGGAAAATTTAATCGTTAACAATACTATTAATTATGAATGTTACACTAAACTACTCTAAAATAAGTTTTTAAGACAAAATTACAAAGCAGAATTTGGCATTAAATATTTTAATTATTATATTTTTTTTTCAACTTATATATTTTACTTACATATTTTATTCGCAAACAACTGCAGGAATCTCCAATTTAACATAAATTATCAATATGACTATAAATGCAGCAAAAACAAAGATTATGAGAATATGAAGGAAAGGCAAACATGAAAATCGAGTTGTAACCATACAAGGTTAGAACAAGTAAGGAATTGTAAATACCTTGGTGTTCACCTGAACGAATATGAATGGATAGATGGTAGAATAAATAAAGGACAAAAGCTGCCAGCAGATGTTTAAATTATCTTTTATAGGAGTTTATAGGGAAAAAAGAACACAAAGAAAGTATTTTATAGAAACACTTCTTACTGATTATTATCCATTCAAGAGAATATTGGACCCTCACCACAAATCACAAGAGCAAGTTCAAGCTACGGAGATGCGGTACTTAAGTAAAATGGAGAGAAAGACAAGGTGAGACCGAGTCCGAAATAAGACAATGAGGTCAAATCTAGAACTTAGGCCAGCTGAGAATATCATTGAGGAACACCAGCAGAGAGGGTTTGGCCATGATATTAAAATGGAAGAGGACAGGTTGGCGAAAATTGTGAATGAAACAAAGGTTGAAGGGCAGAATCCAAGAGGAAGACTGAGGAAGACATGGGAAGGCTCATTCAGGGATCCCTTTGACAGAAGAGGACTGGAATGGGGAATGAGACCACTGATGGTCGAAGACAGAAATTCTTGGATCAAGCTCTACCGAAGATATCCTCACACAGCTCTGCAGTAGAAGAGGAGGCGATAAAATAAATAAATTATGTATAAATATTTACTTATACAACTTAAATAAGTTTTTAAGACAAAATAACTGAGCAGACCTTGGCATTAAATATTTTTATTATTATTTTGTTTACTATTTTTTTCATGTAATTTTATTATTCACACCTGTCATAATAGTAACGAAATCAGTAAATTAGATGTTCATTACACAAAAATATATGAGAGGCACGAGGAGGGGACAGTACCCAATGGCACCTCCTTCTGGCTTGAAATCTACATTAATTGTTAGGCGAAGAAGTCTCTCATTCGGCTCCACTTCAACCATTTACAGACGTTAACTGGCATGTGTAATGTGGCCATGTCATTTATGAGTATGTTGGGGTGTCCTTTTAAGTTGTGATGGGATGGTTTGTAATAGGTTCGAACGTGTTCGTTAACATACGGCATATGTTGGGTCAGTTTGTAACGTACAATGTTTTTTCTCTTCGTATTTGAGGTTCCTTCGTATTTGAGGTTCCTCCTCCTCTTCCTAAAAAGACTCACACGAAAGTCTTTTTAGCTGTTCCAAATATCTGAGATGCGTAACTCCAATTAAGTTTTAGTAAGTAATTGTTTGTTTTTAATTTCTGTCTAAGTTTTAGTTCTGATTGTTTCAAGAGAAGTTACTTTAGTCTTAGTCTTTAATATAGCATCTTTCTTATTTTTTTTATATGTGGCCCCCATGTCATTTTTCGGTCACTGTTGATAAATCTTGTAAATAATATCGACTTTAGTAATAATTCATAAAACTACGATAACCTAACACCTACACCTTAAATTTAAATTTAAGAAGGAATACAAAGAGGAAGAATCCTTTAATTAATCAAGAATTATTTATGTTACCAATGTCAAGTTCAATGTGTGGATTTTCAATGTTAATAGGATTTCACTTCCCAGTTAATAGAGAACAATCTTTTTATGAATAAAAACAAAGACTAACCAGGTAGCAGCGAATACATGCTTGGATGGTATTGAGGTTAAGCATGGTAACATGGCTGAGTGAGAATGTTTCCATGTCAATTATGATATATAGCCCTTCCATATCAGACCAGAGACGCATCGCCAACTCGAGGCTCATGAAGACAGCAGCTAACGTTTGGTCTTGGTCGAAAAGCTTCGTCAAGCCGTCGGTGAACTTGCATGCCATGAATATGACTCTGAATCCTAGAGGAGACGGCTTCGGTAAGAAGAACAGTTGCCTGAAATATAATATAAAACATATATATATGAAAAAAAAGGTAATAAACTAACTTTAGAAACGATAGGTTTTTCAAGAAAAATCAACAAATGTAGCATTACTCTTTTTCTGATGTTGACATGCCTACAGTAGTTCGGTGTCTATCTGAGTTTGGCTTACAATTAGTAGTCAGTTTCTGTACCTAAAGGTGTCAGTGAGGGAAAAGAAAAAGAAAAAGAACTCATTTCTTTAAATGATCAACGAAATTTTATTTAAAAAAATACTTTTCTAGAATTTATATTCCATATATAGGTAAGCCTAAACTTGTACCACAACCCTTGAAGGGTTCTGAGTTCAGTATTATGTAAGGAAATATAGTTTATTTAATTAAGAAGGGACATCTTCATAGAGGCTGGGTGTGCCACAAGAGAGTCTCACGAACCCAGGGTCGATCCACAACCGATGTAACAGAATACGTAATTACCTGCTATCAGCCGGATTAGAATCCAGCATATTCAGCTTATGAAGTCAGTGCCTTACTCATTTAGGTAACTCGCTCCCAAATATATAAATGTCATATATGGGTATACGAAAGTAATTGGAAGAACAGATTACTTGAAAAAGTAAACATGTATAGAAATCCTTTCTGAAATTTATAAAAACCAGGTTCAATAAATACCTGTTAGTATTAAGAACAGAATGTCAACTAAGGAAAACCTATTGTCAATTTAAAGTTTCAGTCTTTAGAAATAAATAATATCAAGAGAGATGGATTCATGATGAATATCCTAACTAAAATTTGCAGTATACATAATTTTCTTGAAATTGATGCTATTGTCAAGAAAAGGAGCAAGTCAATTTTTACCATTCTTGTCATTATTATAATCTCTAATGTTTGTTTCTTATTACTTATTTCATGTATTTATATGATGTACACATTGCGTCATAAATTTAAGAGAATGACTCTAATTTCAACCTTTTTGAGTAAAGTAATTTTATTGATATTTCTAGTTGGAACATGTATCATATGTTGATTTCAGAGTAGGTGAGTGCAATGTTGAAATATAGTAAGGTGAATAAACGTATAAATTTGCCCACTAGAAATATCACTAAAATCAATAATAAAAAATTTTGAAATTGGAGTAAGTCATTCTGTCAACTGAAAGGCTCATATAGTTTTCAATATTAAGTACAAGCACTCAATTCACCAAGGCACTAACAGGCTTGGTTTGAGTAGTTTTCATAAACAAACTTGCCTATAGATTATGATAAAATTGTAAAACATTTTCTCCGACTACCATTCTTTCAATCGGCGCTAATTTATTCTTTTCAATCTACTCGCAATATTAGGAATTTGTATTTGTAAGTAACATCTTAAGGAAATATGTCAACTGTACCCTAATTAATGTAATTCTCTCATATGTTAGATTGAGCACTGCAAGCATCAATTTAGACGAAACAAAATTCAAATTATTCACTTATTATTGTATAAATTATTTAATTTTCTTATTTGTAGTTACAAGTAGACTATTATCTATGAACTAACCCAGCTCTGGAGCACCGCTTGAAATATGGATCAGCTCCGTCCCTGACGCTGAAGGAAAAAATATTCGGCAAGCGACCACGCCATGTGAAGTTCGCCTCCAGCTTCTGTTTAGCGATTTCTAAGCTCTTTGTTCCCACAACAAAGGTCGACAGAATATCCTTTTCTACGACATATTAATACATAGATTAAAAGATATTCTATGCATATCAGTCAGTAACGAACTACCATTGAAGGACAAAGGAAATGTGCATATAAACAGGGTGTCCCATAAGTAGAAGGAAATATTCAAAAGGTTGATAGTAGACATAAAAAAGTTCATATAAACAATTGCCTAATTTCCAGCAGAAAAGTAGGAAATTTAAGATTTGTGTTTTTTTAAGCTAGGCACGTTTTTTGGTTAATTGGAATCGATAACTTACAAAAGATTTAATTTAAGTAACCAAAGAAAGATCCATCATAAACTAGACAATTTTTTTTTTTAAAGTAAGTAGAGTTTGTCGTTGTTAAAACTATTTAAACAGGACTATAGGTTCCGTTTAAAAAAAAGTCATAAATTATTTGTGAATTTTTTTTAGCACTCTTTAACTATACTACATTTAACCCACTTTTAAAAAAGTTCCTCGTTTAATAAGATTTATGTACGTATTAATTAAGTTGAAATATATTAGAAGAAAATTTGAGATACACCTCAAGTATTTTTGAAAAAAATTTTATTCAGGGACTATGGTCTCCTAAGAATAATAAGAGTGTTACAAATTTACGGGTATTAGTCTGGATTAAAATAATAAAAAATAAAAACTAATTAACTGCTTATTATTATTGCAATCGTGCAGTAGTTGAAATTAAACAGTATACATATAAAAGTAATTTTATATGTTAGCGGAAGTTTGAATGTGGAGTAGTTGATGGAACAGGAGTTGTTTGAAGGAATTTCTGGACGAGGATTGACGTATGGAGGTAGGAAGAGAGTTCCAAAAGGAGGTAGCACGAATGATGAAGGATTTGCTGAAGAAATTAATTTTATGGGACGGAATATATTTTTATCCCAATGTATATGTATGTATAAATATTACAAGTTGTGAAAAGAAATTATGTGATTTTCTATCCAGTCACCTTATAGTATCCTTGTTTTCCGCAAAAACTAAAATTAACTGTTGCAAAACTTTTATTTTTGCTTTTTCTGTCCTATGGGATGTGTTGTAATAAAAATAATTTCCTAAAAACTCATTTTATTCATATAAATACAAAATTTAATAATAATGATTTTTTAAATATTTTTCACGAAATATGTTGTTTCACGATTATTTTATTTTATTTTAATTTTAATAACACGATTATTATTAAATTATTTTAAAACAGAACCTAGCTATGTTTGTCAGCCCCATAGTCCTCTTAATTAATAGTTTTACTTACTTTTAATATAAATTTTGTCTACTTAAATCAAATATTATGTATGTTACCGCTTTGAATTCAACAAAAAATGTGATTCGCTTCAAAAAACACAAATCTGAAATTTCCTACTTTTCTACTGGAAAGTACATGGGAAATTGTTTATATAAAATTTGTTTGTAGTTTTTTTTTTTTTAATATTTATACTGTAAAGAAATGGACGGGTGTGATAATTACTCAAATGGATTAAGGCGATAAATAGAAATAGTATGATAGCTTTCTTAGGAAGGAAACAAAACAATCATTCAGTAAGAAAGTACAAGCTATGCAATTCAAACATCAGTTTCTGTAATTCATATAATTCACAGAGCTCGCGTTTCTCTATTATTTCCACAGAATGCGATATATGTAAGATAAGAATACAGTGGCTTAATAATACAGTGTTGTCATACCGATATGGCGGCCACATTGGATCGGCGGGAAACTAATATTTGAATAGTCTCTTCTTGATATTTCAATTTAAAAAGTAATTATTGCAACAAACCATTAACTAGAATGGTTTGGGAGATAGAATTGAAGTTTGGCAAGCTGAATGAAGTATATGAATCACTTATATCACGCGAAAATAAATAATAAAATCAAAGAACAATATTTTTTTCTATTTAACTTCTTTTAAAATATATTCAAATAAACTTCGGCATATTTTGATTTCCATTTTATTCATCTAACTCTCTCATTGGCAAATTTCACAAACAAATTTATATAATTATTAAAACATTAAACAAGAACAGAGTGAAAATTAACTTTCATTGGAAAACCAGAAACTCAATTCTAAGACAGCAACCATGAAACAATTTTTATTTTTCTTCTTAATATTCTCCTTTGAAAAAAAAAAAACTTTACAATGTAAATTTAATACAAATAAATAATTTAATAAATATAAACTATTTAATGTAAATTTAATAAATAGAAATTATTTAATTTAAATTTAATAAATAGAAATTATTTAATGTAAATTTAATAAATATAAATTATTTAAGGTAAATTTAATAAATACAATTTATTTATTTTTACTTAGTTACTTGTGACTGAACACCACAACTAGTGTTGTCCAAACGCGAGACCAAGGCGAGTCTTGCTCTTGTTCTTGTGCAAGTCTCACAACAGTCTTGCAGTTACCTATTAACTTATTATTATAGAGATATTACTGTAATTTTTCAGATATGAGAAACCTAACTAAGCCCAAATGAATAATTGAGGGTTAAATTTCAAAAGATATTGGTTATACCAATTCTTTACATATAGTAAAAGAAATTGTCAAGTTTTAGTGACTATTTTGCGTCAGTTTTTATTCATAAAAAAGATTTTACTTAACCAGTCTTGGTCTTGCCACAGTTAGGCGGCCTTAGTCTTAGTATTGCAAAGTGCATGGCCAAGACCGATTTTGGGCAACATTAACTATTATAAATCCACTATTATTACAAATTTAAATAGTTTAAAATTTGATCCTCGATTAATAGAATCATTTCTGATCATTGATAGTAAAATATTTTTTATGCAATGGTTTACCTCTTATCATAATGTTGGTATTGTATATTGCATCTGAAGCAGAAAAAAATTGTTCATTTTACTTTTGAGCCTGTTAGAGGTGGTAGGAAAACATTTGTTATGGAGTGGTATAAATGAGTTTTTGTATAATTTGAAAATTTCTATTTACCAGTCAATATCAACATACCTGTTATCAATGAAGTGGATTAATGATCATATATAATATTTTATATATTACATGATAAATTGTAATAATGTTCGTCATAACTGAATTTTCCATTAGTCCAGAATCTAAGCTTTGTCTTGTTTTATTTATTTTTCATCACTTTTTTTTGGGAAAGTTAGAGATTATTGGCTATAAAGTATTTTTAGTTTTATCACACAGGATATACCAAGAAAAAAAAAACTAATAGTGAAGTATGAAACCGTAACGATAAAATACAATAAATTATTAATTGATTGAAGAACTATCCAATTTAACTTGAAAAATGAAACGTTTTTAATCAACAAAGGAAAATAAAAAATAAAGATAAAACAGACAATATTTATTTATTCACAAAGAATATTAAATTTATATATGCTGCATATATACATTTATAGATTTACTGCTAAAAACAGACAAATGAAGGAAATTATTTTTACTAATTGAATTTATTTTAAGTCTAAATACAACAAATCTCTTAACAATACTATCTTTAGTATTGTGACAATTAATTATGTGTTCTGCATCAACAGAACTCATTTTTTTCTTTGAAAAATTCTCTTTAGTCACCTCTTACTGAGTTGATTTGGCTCATATAGGTTTCGAAAATGACATAATCATTTAATTTTTTACTTTATTTTCCTTTGTCATTCAGTGGTTGAAATGAATGAATGAAAGAAAAAGATGGAAATTAAGTTTGATACTTGGTCATAGAAGATAATTTCTATATTTGAGGCTACTAGCTGATACAATTTTTATTTTGAAGTCAGTAGTTTCAAGTATAAAATCGAAATTTGGTTTTCCTTTATAGTTATTGTTACTTTCAATATTAAAAATATTGCAGTTGATGATTGTTGATGAGTCTAGTTGATGATCCTTAAATGGTTGTTGAGCCATCTAGAATAAACATTTACAGTTTTAGAATTTCAATGATAAGAAAAAATAAGGAAAATAATATTTCATTTCAGAACTTTTGCAACACAACAATCTATTTCTTAAAAATCAATTAAGATAAGTATAATATCGCTTATTCTGGCATAAACGAAAACAACGTTTAGTTACTCTAGATCTAAATAAAGCTAGGAATCATCAACTATACTCATATTTTAATGATGAACGCAACAATAACTATAAAAGAAAACCGAATTTCAATTTTAGACTAGAAACTTCTAACTTCAAGATAAAAATTTTGTTAGCTAGTAGCCTCACACTATAGACTATCTTCATATAACCAAGTTTCAAACTTGATTTCCATCTTTTTCTTTCATTACCACTGAATTAAAAAGGAAAATTAATAAAATAAAGTAAAGAATTAAAGTATACTCACGATTTAAGTCTATGAAGAAGAAACCAAACTTATCACTTTAAACACTAATATGTATAACTATTAATAAATCATAAAAACTACCTATATAAATATAAAAACTACCTATTAGTAAAATATAAAAACTACCTATTAGTAAACTAAATCTATAACTAAAACAACACAATTAAACTTTTAAACAAAATATCACCAATAAAATAAGAGTCTGTGAATATGAAACCTATCACTGAATATGAAACCAAAAATATCACTTTAAACACTAAAAAGTATAATTATTCAATAAAAACTACCTATTAATAAACTAACCTATCCCTTAAACATCAAAATTAAGCTCCTAAACTAAAATATCGCTAATAAAATATGAAAATTTAACAGTTTTGAGGTGCCTATAGAGCGAGCAGGTAGCAAGGGACGATCCAAGATAGCCAACCAATCAAAAAGTGACTCCATATGACCCACTAAGGGATCCAGGATTTAATTTTGGAAGGGGCTTCAGGCCAAAAGATTTTTTTTTCATACACATATAAGGATAATTAATTTGAAAAAAAAGAAAGGAATTAATTACCTATATGAAATGGTGTTTAAGTGGTTCTTGAAGTCGTATTAAATATAATTAGATGTTACCATTTTGGGGGGCTTCAGCCCGAAAGCCCCCCTCTTTTTTTCCACACATCTCTGTCCCTAGCTGCTCTCCACCAGAGAGGTCCTGCCAAAAGCCTAAATGGATCTCTCCATCTCTTCATTTGTCAGTCTCTCATCCTTTTCCGGTCATATGGAGTCCATTCGATAACTATTTTTGACCATCTATTGTCATTGCATCTTAGGAGATGTCCAGCCCATTGATCTGATTTTATCTATCTACTTTACTTTCATAATATGTGCACCATATTCTGCAGAATATTAATAAAAAGTCAACTTTGAGCTCAATAAATATTAATAACTGTTACAGAATCAATGGTCAGTTTTGCAAATAAATTAATGCTTGTCAATTATTGAAGTTATTAGTAGAGCCCGGATATTCGTTCAGAAAAAGCTTTTGAAACATGGCAGTAAAAAACTTAAAACATGCAAAAATGTATAAAAGAAACTAATAAAAGATAAAAATTAGATGCTTTTTAACATAATCTATAAAAACAATAACATACTCGAAAACTAATAATTTTTAATTTCTAAAACTAAATAAAATAAGAAAAAAAAATTAAAAAACTATTTAACACTCCTAGAAGCATTAAAATTAATTATTTTTATTACATTTTTGTGTTTTGTACATTTCTAACATCCTATCATAAATTAATTAAATGTTTTAAAGGATAAAATGCCTTTTCTATGTATTCTTTAATTAGAAATTGTTTATATGACCTTAAAATATTTGGTACATCACCAACATTATATTTCTGTGGTTATTTGCCAAAACTTGAAGAATTAAAAATAAATAAATAAAGTTGAAATGATATTAAAATATAACCATGGATTTAATTTTAAATGGAAATTTAAATCTCAAAATTAACTGTTTTCTATTAACCAAAAGTTATTTTTAATAACTAATAATTATATGTTTCTAGAGTTGTATTTTTGTATGGCTAAAATTAATATATATCCAGACAAATTTTTTTTCATACTTAACTTTTTCTTGAGATGTATCAACTTTAATCACACAAAAATACAACTCTAAAAACATATCATTATCAGTAAAATAAAAAATAGTAAATTTTGAGATTTAAATTTCCTTTTAAAATGAAATCCATGGTTATATTTTAATATAATTTTATAATTACAACTTTATTTATTTATTTTTAAAAACTTATTTTTAATTCTTTACTTTTTTTTTTGTGCAACCAATTTGTTGAGTAACCCAAATACGTTCAGTTTCGTGCGAAATGAAGCTGGTGTCAAAAAATTGTACTCTTCATGAATCGAATCTCTATCGTTTGGCTGAATTTAAAGCTAGGAAGAAAAAAAAATCAATTGCATGAAAATCTGGTCTTCAGTTATTAGTATCAACACATCTCTGTTAACTTTGATTAATTATTTAAAAATTAATTGTTTTGGCTGATGTTATAGATTATTGTGTTGAGTGTTTGTTTATTTAATTGTATAAGTTATAAAATGATTAGTACTATTTTTTTAATAGTGAATACTATATTTTATAAGTGTTCATTTTATCTGATCAAATGTTTTATTTTATTAGAATTATAAACAATTAATTTAACTGCAGTTGTTGGTTACAGCTCTCCAATAGGCCAACAATGCTGGTTAATATTTAATTGATATGTATTTAATATAAATATTTTGTTACAATTTCTTCGTCTGTATATATATATATATATATATATATATATATATATATATATATATATATATATATATATTTTAACATGATTATTTAATTGTGAATAAGGTCACTTAATAATTATTCAATAACCTACTAAATGTTCATTGCTTCTTCTGTTTATTCAACGTTTCGATCACTTTTATTTTATTTTGTATAAGTTAACAATGGGATTCTTTTCAAAGTTTTAAAATAGAGCCTTGATACCTCAGGACAAGGACATAGCGACAGTCTCAGCATATATATATATATATATATATATATATATATATATATATATATAAAAACGACAGCAGTGATATAATCAGTGATAGCACTATATATATATATATATATATATATATATATATATATATATATATATATATATATATATATATCACTATATGTATCACTAACAACTCATGAAGACTTTTGAAATCAGTACTTTGTTAAGAAGTATTGTTTAAAGGCCAACGGTTGTGCAGGGAGGTGATCAGACCCTCAACCACCAGGTTTTCCACCTTAATTAATTATTTAAATTAAGATTACCGACTTTATAGAGGCTGGGTATGCCCCAGGAGGGTCTCTCGACCACGGGATCAATCCATGGCAGATGAAAAATGACTTGACATCAGCCGGATTCGAACCCGAGACCTTTAGCTTAGCAGCTCAGTGCCTACTTCACTGGGTTGCTCGGCTATATGATTAGATATATAACTGATACTTATTTAATCCATCCTCCTCTACCGCTAAGCAGTAAGAGTATATATATTCGATATATGTTTAATTTAATTATTAGGGCTTCCTTTCAGCAAAAATCATACATATTGACAAATCGATGAAGGGCTTACTGACATATGTAAAATACTTACGAACAACGTGTGGGAGATGGGGCTGCTTTAGCAGCCATTCCTGAAGTCTTCCAATATCGCCTTCAACTTCTTCCTTACTCCTAGTTCTCACTTCTTTTGAAACCATATCAAATGCTGAAAACAAAAAAACCTATTTACTTTATTACAAATCTTACAACTATCATTACATAAATTATGCCTCTATTCAAAATAATAAAAGCTCTAAAATATTTTAGAGTAAACAGTGTGAAAACTGTTGGTTAATATCTACAATAGAGATTTGCCAGAGAAACACAGTTTCATAAGGACTTCACCTGAAATATCATCTATGAAAAAAAACGAATTTATTTATAAAATTAGACAATTATATTTATTATAATACATCCAAAATCATGGAAAAAACAAGAAATAAAAGCTTTGCAACGTTTAACTATAGTAAATTTTAACGTCTGCACTATGCGGGCGACATGTGGGCGTGCATTATTGTGCATTATAATAGAACGATCGCCGATTTCGTTGAGGATAGGCAACACACGAGGTTCCAAAATCTCATCTACATAGCGAATGGCCGTCAAAGACCCTTCACGAACAAAAAACAATTCTGTGCGGCGCTCCATTGAAATCCCAGCCTACACCATTAAGGAACCACGTTGGAAAGGTTGGCTCTGGGAAAAATTACAGGCTACATATCTTTCGTTTCTTCTTCTCCACACCCTTTCACGCCCGTCTGGAGATCGAAGAGCGAATCTTGACTCATCTGTAAAACGTACAGCACTCCGTAGTCCAATGGCTGTGTTCTCGAGCAAAAGCCAGCCGTGTTACTCTGTGAGTTCTGGTCAACTCTGGTCCTCTTACTGGACGAAAAGCCATTAATTCATACATATTTAATCTTCTCCGAGCGGTACGTTCAGAAATTTGCTGATGAATCGCTTGAACAACGATAAGGTGCCGCTTTCGTAAAATTCTCAAAGTCAAAAACCGGTCATCCCGTGGTTCTGTTACCCTAGGCCGTCCAAAACCGAGCCTTCTATTTTAAGAACCAGTTTCCCGAAAACGAAAAGTTTCATATGGAACTCCGATGGCATTAGCTGCATATCTAATGGAACGTCCATCATCAATATGTGCCACACCACGCGCAACATCCTCAGCACTAAGAGGCATTTTTAAACTTAATATTGAAAAAATTAAAAGCCGGAGACTAAGAAATGTGCTGCAAGAAACGGCACTGAACTAATGATACTGAATAAACATTTCGATTCCATAGAAAGTAAATATTGGAATCTAGAATCATTTCATTGAATTAAGGATTATTGTCCTCTATATTAATATTCCTAATTGAAAACAAACAAAAAGATTAAATATTTATTCATTAAAAACAATAGACCAATCCAAAGCAGAAATATTTTTAGATGAAAACATGAAAAAATCAAGTGGGTGGAATTTTTTGCCTGTGAGTGTATATACACATATACACATGAAAATATGTGAAATAAAAACATAATACTGAAAAAAATACGCAAAGTAATCCCGCTAAATCAATAAGAATAAATATGAGTTAAACAATGAAAAACAAAATCAATAATTAAGATACAGAAATTAAGAAAAAGAAACTAATACAACAAAATTATATTGACTTTCATTCATACCTATATACTATTTTCATCCTGCCTGCATAACTAAGAATTAAGCTTTCGCACCACTTGTGGAAGGCAAAGGAGGGCTAAAGGTGATCCCAGCTCTTCTCTCCCAGCAGCATCGCTGGTTAAAAAACAAATAGTTAAGGTAAATAAAGTTTGTATATATTATATTACAATGAATAGATTGTTAGAAGAAATAACGATTATACCTACTACTACAACAAGGAGAATACAGTATGGAACGAGGAACACTGGCGGATCCAGGATACCATTTTGGGGGGACTTCAGCCCGAAAGATTTTTTTTCTTATATATAACGATAACTACTCTAAAAAAAAAAAGAAAGATACCATCTACATATATGAAATGGCATTTATGTGATTTAAATGTGAGTACGAACAGTAATACTTTAAGAGATATCTCTTTAATATTTTTACCATAAATATCATTGTATCAATGAAGTGGTCTTTAATATCAATCAGGTCTTATCCCCATTGATGTCACTTTACAGGGCTGAAATGCCCAATGTTCATATACAGCTTCCTCTAAAGTACCTTTTATATGATTTCTTTTAAATAATTAATCATCACACATTATTAAAAGTTACGAAAATAACTTCTAATAGAATTTAATAATTGAATAAAGGAGGGAAAAAAAAGGCTTATCCAGGTCGAAAATGAATCTCCGGAAATACTAATCAGAAGGTATACGTATAATATATCGTTGGGAAGCGGAGAATTTTAGAAAAAGCAATGTCTGATATAGAAAGTTGTAGAAGGTAACGGAGAGCGGCGAAAAAATTATAAGTAATAATTTTTTTAAACTATTAGAGTTTTATTTACATTGATGTAAATGTAAATGACATGTGTGTCCAGGAAATTAAATGAAGTTTTCTTATTGTACTTAAACTTTTTTTTTTATTGTTTTATTGAACACACTGAAGGGCTTGGTACTAGAGCTATAGTATTCATTCACACAATATGTACATAAGAAAGAAAAATAAATAAAAATAACCAAGTAAGAAGAGCAAGAAAAAAAAAAAGATATATATAAATAAAAAGATTAAAGTAATATACAAGATAAGTAAAATAACAGATTAGCCGAATGATAACAAAATAAATAAAACACATTCACACCTATGTACAATATATACATTGGCCCAAGAAATTCTAAATCAAGCTTTGTCACCCGATTGTGGAAGCCAAAGCAGGACTCCAGGAGATCCCAGTACTTCACTCCCAGCCGCGCCACTGGTTTAGTAAGCCAGTGTAGACTGATGGAGGGCACTAGAGCAACAGGCGCTCTGGACATGAGTGAAGAATCTGGCCAGTGCCAGTACTCCAATATATACATTTTTACAAAAGGTCGCGGGGCCACTACCGTTTTAACTGTAGGGAACGCCGATTGTAGGGATGACTGGAGGTAGATAAAGACTGTGCTACAGGATTATGATGATGAGTGAGATTCTAATGAAATTTGGAAAAATTTTCTGGGATTAGGTCAAGTACAAATGGGATATTAATGTCATTGTGTAGGGATTTATTGGTTACATAAAAGGGAGCACCGACTACTATTCGAAGAACTTTAGACTGGAAGGATGTTAGAAAGTTTTTCTGTCCCCCACAGCAAAATAGGGTCAGATAGATTTCAGGATTGTCTTGTAGATTAATTGTTTGTTCTCAACTGAAAGTTGAGATTTTCTATTGAGTAGTCTATATAGTTGGCCATATCGCCGGTTAAGCTGATGTCTTTTAAGTCTATTATGAGGTTTCTTTTTTTTTTTTTTTTTTTTTTTATTTGTTTATTTAGAAATATTACATTCTGTCACATCAAGGACATTTATAATAGTGTTCAGAGAAAGCACACTCACACTCTATTTACAATAAAAAAAAAAAATAAAATAATACAGAAACTTAATAATAATAAATACAATAAATAAAATAAAAATAAATACAATAAAATAAAATAAATGTATATAAACAAAAGAACTAACCTAATCATACACACTCGGGCTTGAGTGGAGGATCTGGCCATTGCCAAAACTCCAATAGATGCTTATTTACAAAAGGTCTCTGGGCCACTGCCGCTTCAACCTTCGAGGAGGATTGTAAGGATGGGTGGTGCTGAATAGAGATTGTGCAAGGGGATTTGGATGATAGGTAAGGTTCTGGTGAAATTTGGAGAATTTTTCTGGAATAAGGTCTAGGACAAATGGGATATTAAGGTCATGGTGTAGGATTTTGTTATTTACATAGAACGGAGCATCAACTATTGTTCGAAGGACTTTAGATTGAAAGGATTGAATACGTTTGATGTTAGAAGCTTTTGCTGTACCCCACAGTTCAAGTCCGTATGTCCATATAGGTTTCAGTATTGTCTTGTAGATAAGTAATTTGTTTTCAATAGAAAGTTTGGATTTTCTGTTTAGTAGTCTGTATAGCTGGCCGTATCGTCGGTTGAGTTCTTGTCTTTTGAGTCTAGTATGTGGGTTCCACGTCAGTCTTCGGTCTAAATGAAAGCCAAGATACCGGACTGTGTCTGAGTAAGGAAGCTGGATGGAATTAAAGTGTACTGGTGGACAGGAACTGCGTCGGAGTGTAAAGGTAATGTGTTGGCATTTAGATTCATTAACTTTAATGCGCCAGTTATTACACCAGTGCTCAATCAAGGTGAGGTGGTTTTGGAGATTTAAGGATGCTATGTTGGGATCTGAGTCGGATGATAGAATAGCGGTGTCATCAGCAAAAGTTGCCAGGAAGGTATCGGGATGGACAGGGATATCGGCGGTAAAGAGGATGTAAAGGACGGGACCCAATACGCTACCTTGAGGAACACCTGCCTCAATTGGATAGCAATGCGAAAATTCAGTACCGCAACGAACTCGGAAGGTACGATCTGAGAGGTAGGAACGGAGAACAAGGTACAAGGACTGAGGAAGATAGTTTTTCAGCTTGGAAAGAAGCCCGGCGTGCCATACCCGGTCGAAAGCTTGAGCTATGTCCAGAAATGCACCCGAGCAATATTGCTTGCTTTCCAATGCTGCGGAAATATGATCAACCACTCGGAGTCCTTGTTGGACTGTAGAGTGTTGTGAACGAAATCCGAACTGATGGGAAGGAAGAGTTTGGGATTCTACAAAGGGTAGGATGCGTTTTAGGAGGATCTTTTCAAAGATTTTTGAGAGAATAGGAAGAAGGCTAATTGGTCTGTAGGACGTTGAGGTGTTGGGAGGTTTGCCTGGTTTCGGAAACAGGATAATAGTGGAATGTTTCCACAAAAGAGGAAAGTGGGTGGTTCGTAGGATGCTATTGTATATGTATGTAAGGAATATGACAGCTTTAGGAGTGAGTTGTCTAAGGATCTGAGAGGTAAGCAGGTCGTATCCAGGTGATTTACGGGTAGGTAGTTTTTGTAAAAGGAATTTGACCTCAGAAGGATTAACTGCTTTAGGCGGTAAGGAGAGTGGGATGGGTGAATTAAGGAATTCCTCTACTGCTGA